AACTGATGGCATTCTTCTTCCTCGCTCGCGCCACTGGCTCACTCCACCGACACGCTACCACCATCCTTCTCCCATCCCCGGTTCCCGGCTGGAACCAAGCGAACCCGCGCATTCACACTACCGACTGATGAATCGCGAGATTTCAGGCGAGGTGTGTTTCTGCAATGGCAATATTCTTTGTGAATTGTTGTTCTTAAAGCCCATGTAGCTACTTGCCTTGGCCATTTCCTGAAATTTTTGCATAATTGTTTGTGATTTGTGATTCTCACGTGCTCGGAGCTTCTTAATGTGAAAATAGGTGTATGAATATACAATTGTTATGCGCTTCCCAGATACAACAGTTGGACTGAAGTTGCACATGCAATCTTTAACGGCAGAAGTACATTGATTTATCAATAAAGACCACCACTTGTGATTGAAAATTTGTTACAGCATATTAGAAATGATAAGAGGAATAACAAATTCCATTTCATAACTCACTATACAATATGAAAGCAACCAACAGAGGTCAAGCAGTTATTCTGTTCTTGAGTTTCAGGTCGGAGTTCATCTGCCGTCAGGCTTAGGATGGAGTGAACTTGAGCGAAATGCTGTTAACACAGTGTCGCTCGTTGGTAGGCGTTTTAAACCCCTCCCCTTTGAATATGTGCCCCAAATGTCCTCCACAGGCACTACATGTGATCTCTGTCCGCCTCCCATCAGGGTCCGGCTAGTGTCCAAAAAAATATTGGTTAATACTTAATACTGGAGACTGCAGAGAAGGCCAGAGAGCAGGATCATTCCTCATCCTGATGTGCAAGAGAGAATAGTAGCACATACCGTCTGTTTTATGGCCCCAGGAAGTCCCTCATAAAATGCCGGCCAGCCACACCCTGAGTTGAACTTTGTAGATGATTTGTATAAGGGAGTTCCACATCCAGCACATTTATAAATGCCCTCCTCAAAGAACTTGTCGTATTCACCCGTTCCAGGGTACCTGGGAAATCAGACCACCAGACGAATTCAGAAAAAACTATGACACCTGTCAATAGTTTAGCAGACAAACAGCTTCACCACACCACATGCCAAACATCAGTCAGAAACTAATACTTGTACCATGATTATTTGGCATGTAACAATGACTCCCATGCTACAATGTGGAAACGGTGCACACTAGTTATAGTAACTTACAGACATAAATACATGCTTGCCATCCGAAAAAAAAACTAAATTAAATGGACTGCCATACATTTTAGCAATTCATACTTTATAAAAGCATAAAATCATGGTAATGGCAATAGGTCATTACTAAAAAAACAAAGTCAGGGTCAGATATTTGTTTTTTTTATGTCAAATTAGTTATTATTATCATTTCATTGTTGCTGCTGCTGCAAACCTGTTGCTTCATTTTAATATAGTGACACGGACTCCAAGTCAACAGATAAGTGTCGCGGAAATGCGTATGTTGCGTTGGATTTACGGTCATACAAGAAGGGATCGAGTTCGGAACGATGATATACGTGATAGATTCGGGGTAGCACCAATTGAAAAAAAGCTTGTCCAACACCGGTTGAGATGGTTTGGACATGTCCAACGGAGACCTCCAGAGGCACCGGTGCGTACTGGAATCCTAAGCCAGGATAGTAACGTGAAGAGAGGCAGAGGAAGACCGAAGTTGACTTGGGTAGAGGCAATAAAAGGAGACTTGAAAGGATGGAATATACCCAAAGACTTAGCCTTAGATAGGAGTGCTTGAAAAACAGCTATTCACGTGCCTGAACCTTGATTGCTTCTACTGGGTTTCAACTCTAGCCTACCCCAACTTGTTTGGGACTTAAAGGCTTTGTTGTTGTTGTTGTTGACACGGACTCCAAGTAACCTCCCTTCGGTCACAAATCCTAACGTCAAGTATTTTTCACCAGATAGGATCAATTAATATGTTCTTGCATTACTATAGAACTCTGTGATGCATCAGCCATAGCCAGAACTGCAGCAACACTAACAAAAAACAACCTGGAGCTAGTTAATTTATCAAATAGTTCATAACTTCTCTCATGCTCTACACTCTAATTCAACCCAAGAACTTGACAATTTATAAAATTCTAAGTTACCTCTAATAAAATAAGGAAGTAAGGCCCGTAAAAACAAGATCCACAGTCACTAATTGGCTACTGGGGTGTTGGAAGTTGCAACTGGACTACAAGGACATCGAATTTTCTCTTGGTTTATTGCAATGATAAGACAACATTTTTCTTTATATTATTAACACCTATAGTTAATGACACGATCAATTGTACGCAACCTACTCTAGTTTACACAATTATTGGATTCTTCTGGATTTGCAAAGTGACCTTCACAAGATGGCAACACCAATTTCTCCAGCTACTTGTTCCATCTTCTATGGATTAACATTGTATTTATGTTATATTTGGCTAGATTTTTTGAAATACTGAAAGAAAACACCACCATGAAATGAAGGGGCACATGGAAGACATGTAACACGAGCACCACAGAATGATGCACAACCAAGGTGCACACATAGAAGTAGATGAAATCTGGAGCGCAAATCAGGGACCTCTTTTGTTGAGTAGCTGAGCAAATTTCCTTACTGTCAAGGGAAATCTACAATTAGGATTCAAGGGCTACAACCGATTGTTGTCTTGACCTCTGTGGATTTTGTGTATAATTAAATTTCAGTACTACAAAACATGCAGTAGTTCAAAATAGCACCTAATAAGATGGATGGTGTGATTCAGTAATGATACTAGCTTCAACTCGTCAGCATTTCCGTGCTCTAATTACAAATTCTTCAAACTTTACAATCCATCTAATAATTGTACTATCCAAATACTGGTAGAAAATTAGAATAACTTCTGCAGTTAAACGCACAGCACAGTCATGTGGCCAGCTATCAATTAATGACGTATGTAGCGGGCGAGAGCATGGTGATGTGCATTCTGGGCGATCTTTGTTAATGCTTATGCAATTGAATTTAACTTGGGTCGATCAGAATGCGTATCTACTACTACTAGTGACCATTCAATTTGTCACTACCGTCAACAAGACAAATTCGGCAACAACAGCGAAGGACAAGAGATGTGGCTAGTGCGGTTTAAAATCTTACTCGGTGCCCTTGCGGCGTAGGATGTTGAACTGCTCCGGCGTGAGGATGGCCTGCCACTCCTCCTCCGACTTCTGCACGGATCCCGGCGGCGGCGTCGACGACGACGACGACATCGCCGCCACGCTCGGGGTACTCCGCCCTGACGCGCCGCGCGATGCGGACGCCGCCGCGTGGCCCCGGCACGACCGAGCTGCGCACGAGAGGGGCGCGGATCGAGGGCGCGCGGCAGAGGGCGAGGGGGCGAGGAGAGAGGAGAGCGGGCGCGCGGCGTGCGGCGCCAAGGTGGCGGCGCGGGGGCACGAGTGGGACGCCATCCTGAGCCTCAGCAGACGCTGGACGCCCATGTTTCGTTTGGTTGCCTGATAAGGTTCTGGACTCGTGTGCTCTGGGATTACGATGGATCCAATCCAGGAGACGTGCAACGGTTCCTTCGAATTTATTTTGCTTATTTCTTTTTTTTAAAGTACCTTGTTTGATTAGTTTTTGCACTTGCTAATATGAAATTTGGGGGAAAACTCAACCAGCATCTGGTGACTGATGTCAAGATCTGTCTCTGAAAACTGATGAGAAAAATGGTTCCATAATTGTTTTGACAGAATTTGCAAGTATGCCAGTAAGAAAGATAAAATGTAAACGTCGAAATTTGACCCTATTCATTGCGTGTTTTTGGATATCACGTCAAATGGACAGGTAGACAATACACTGCACCTAAAACATGCATCCCATCAAAAAAGAAAAAAGCAACTATATTGCACAAACATTCCCAATCAAAAAATGAAAACCTAAAACCGTAGACCTTACGCAAATGCCATGAAATCTAAAGACAAGAAAGCGTGTGGCCAGGCTGCCCACACGGCGCGCCACGTCGCCGGCCGTTCCCGGCCGTTCGATCGGCCGCATCGACGGCCCAGATTAGACGAGGCGCGGTCATTTTACGAAAAACCCCTTATGTTTTTGGGAAATCAACCCGCGCTCCAGAGGCCCTCTCAGAATATTTTGCAAATAACATCTCAGATAATTTTCAAATCAACCCGCAGTCCAGAACGGATGAGCTCTGGATTTTTTGCAAAAAAACCCTTCCTTTTATCAAAAATCAACCCGCACTCCAGAGACACTCTCAACGATTTTTTCGAAAACCTCCTCAGATTTTTCTCAAATCGAAATACAGGCCCCCCTTGATTATATCTTTTTTTTCCAAAAAATACGTGTGGCCAGTGGCCCACGCGCATGGGCGCGCCCGAAGAACTAGTGAGTGTTAGTCAGAGATTTATCTTGACTCCAATAACGTTAATCACTTCCCCAGCCAACACCTAGCTCCAGGGCGTTGCCAACTACCCGAGTAGGTTTCACAGTGCATGTGATGAGACATTACCTTTCTGTTGTGCCAGGCGCACTGGCACTCCCGAAAGGGCTTGATCTAAAAATAATTTATGGAAGAGGTTAGTATTAAAATATTGATTTAAAAAGGTATCATAGAAAATCTAGAACTTGGTACCGGAGGAAGTACGTGGTAAACAAAATGATGCATGTAACCCTTCCTGATTACAATATTTGGGTTAGTAATAGAAATTAATGATAGGTAGCATGTGAATGTTGTCATTTTAAACTAAATAAACTGGACGATAACTTTTCTTAAACTCTGCATAGAGAGAAATTATCATTGTATTGTATAGATTAAAACATGGCATATGGATGATGAATTGAGTGAAAGTCCACTCTGGGTTGCACGAAAACTAGAATGAAACCCTCTACAGCCCACTACACCACCACCCAGGTCAACAAAGTTGGAAGGATTGTTGTGGAAGAATGATTGCCTTACTAATAGGCAACCCCTGGAAGCAAAAAGGGACACAGTTAAAGACAGAGAATGGCTACACTGCAAGAACCGTCAATAATATCAGCAATATTTGTAATATATGCCCTCAGAATTGCATGAAACTACATACTGCTTAGCTGAGTGCTGCCTCAGAATAATGTCAATCACTCGAATTGCTTCCTGACTGTGCTCTGATTTCTGACCTCTCAAGGCCTGTGAGATTGCGCTCATAGGAATTTTTGCCGCAAAAGAGAGTTCAACCTTGTACGTCTTTGTATTGTAAGGCCTTCTGACCATTTTCCTCTCACTTCCAGGAGGACTGTCATTGCCTGGACTGCCATTTGCAGGAGTCCTGAAAGCAAGAAAGTCAAGTTAACATTTAGGGATAATTATCACCAGAGTAGATAATGACAAATCAATCAAAATAACTGAGGCTTACTTTCCAGTTGAAAAGTCTTCAACCACGACAGTGAACTCATTTTTAACTTGAGGAAGAGCACCAATTGTGAACAGGCTCTTCTCACAATCATATGCAAAATCTTTATTTGCAAGTTCAGCAGCATAAATTTGCTGCAGTTTTTCGATCACTTTTCTTCCCGACCCTTTGCGATCAACCGGTGTATCATCTTCACACTTCAAATTGGCCTGCAACCAGTAAAAGATAACATCATTGATAATGAAGGTATGAGGATGAAAATAAAGAAATGACACTTGGACAAGGATTAGAGACCCACATAATAATGATAGAAATAATCTTCAGCATTCATGAGAGAAACTTTGAAGTGATTTGTTATCAGCTTTATCAGCTGCCCCTTTCTGCCAAAGCCATTCCTCTGGACCAGGCTCCTAGGTTTCAATGGCGCCTTTGTTTCATCAGCTTTAAGTGGTTCAACACCAGCAATCAAAGGAGGCAAGTCATCAGCCTCGCCATTGTGAGACTCCATTTAGTGAGCCTTGCTGCATGAGTATATCCAAAGCAAACCTAATCAGACATGTATGTAGGCACTAGCTGTATGATTCAAGCAAGCAGCACCGCAACTGAAGCGGCAGAAGGCCCAGTAAATCACCCTTCCAAACATCTGAACTCAGCAATAGTAAACAACGAGCTGAAGCAACAAAAACTAGGAATTCAAGTTGGCATTTACTTTGCTAAAGAATTTCCAGTGCAGCAGAATGGAAACATTAACTATTCAAAAAAAAAATAAGTGAAACCCAAACTTAAAATTAGAATTTCCAGTTTCTTCCAGGTTTCATGCCTTCCCAATTAGCTCATAATTATTCATTGCTACACATTGAGTAGGGTACAGACACCATACATGTTGGTCTCGGACCAAACAGAGAGAGAAGTGAGGAAGTGAGCAATTGAGTCATTCCTTTTCCCGGTAGGGCTTATAAACAAATGAATTCCTACAAACTGCATCCAGTTCCTAAACACTCACAAATAGGCCCCTAGGCTTAGTAATTAGACCTTATTACACACTAATGGGAGGCCCTAGCTTATGCCACACCCCCAACAATACACATTCTCTAAAGTAATATCAACTGCCAACTATTTACATTGTGCAAACGGTATACATTTCAGTAAACCACAATGTTTACTCCCAAGTCCCATCACCACCAAATATGCAACACAAATGTAACATCAGTATACTTTATTATTTTGCAGCCCACACTAATAGCAATAGAAGATATTCCACTTATATCAATTAGAAATTGGAACATTTAAATATCTGGCATTTGTTTTCTTTCCTAATACTTCATACAATGAAGCAGTAAGAAAAGAAGTCACTGTATAGTATAGATGTAAGAATGACACAGGTAGGCAAAGCACAGTTGCTACTGAACAAATTTGAAAACATAAAAAAAGAAATCGTGATCATCTCACAAACTATGGAAACATTAATAAACAACAAACAATGGAAACAGTACTAAACAAGGACCTCGAACACAACACACTACCATAGTCCATAGAAGATTTCCTAGTGACAGAACTCATATGGAAACATCATACTGGTCCTTCATAGGAGCTGTTCTACATGCTCACACAAAATTGTAAACAATATGGCATAATATACTCACGAGAGCACTGTATCTGGCCCAAAGCTGCAAAGCCTCTGCCCAACCCTGCACATCAACAAATGAAAACGAATCATAACATATGACAATAAAACGACAATAAACAAAGGAGAATGTAAATAAATTACAATAAGAGTCATGTAATTATATATCTATATAGACCCCAAAAAATGCAAAAGATTTGGAAAGGGGAACAGATCCAGGAAGAAAGGCAAGAAAAAGAAGAAACCCCTTTTCCTTTGGAAAGTCATGCCGAAATTTCCATGACTCCAAGAAACCAAAAAAAAGGCAAAGAAAATTGCAGCGCGCACCCCAAATTAACGATGCTGCACTAAAATCCTTATGAACGAACCTTCCAGAACAACACACTAATATCCTTAAGAATGAACCTTCCAGAGATGCGTATTTATCAAACAACGAATAAATATTATTCAAAAACTATCCTTTATGTAGAGAAATGAACAGCGCCTCCATAAACCTCCCCAAAAACTTAAAAACACATAAAAAAAAGTGACCATGATAACTGTTGAATCCATACTAGGAAATCCGAATTGAATACCATCACTAATCAGATGATCAGGTCACATCAGGAGACTCAAGAAACCAGATTGCTATGATGTGACCATGGTCTCGGTAATGTTCAAGATGTTATTGTATTATTCTCTGCTAACGATAACTTAGTTCAACGTCTACATAAAGGCTTTGTTGTTGTTGTAACGATAACTTAGTTCAACGTCAAGATCATCATAACTCTAATCTCGTAGCTCAACTGCTAAACCTTTTTGCAGTATTTGTAAAAAAAGTGCTAAGCTGGTGGATTCAAAGGAGGGCGCGGCAAAGCCGCGCCGAGTTTTTCTAGTTATGCAGTTAAAACACACAAGATTCAATGAAATATGATAATACTGGTCCTCTATACAGTTTGATTATATCCAGCATTTGGTATACCAAATATATTTCAGAATTGACAATCTAATGACAAAATAGAGCATCAAGCTTATGGCCTACATGCAAAGTTAGTCAGATAGCAATAGATACTATTAAGCAAATCATTGAACAAAACCATGATCAGAATCATCATAAACACCTTCATCCTCTGCGCTGTCTACACCCTCCACAAATGAGCCTCTGTTTTCAATACCATATGAAAATCAGTCAGCACTCTTAATCTTCAGTCCACTGCTCTCGTGTTATTAACCTCTGAGCATGCATATGTTTTGGCATAGAATTGCCAAGTACTCCCTCCATTCCAAATTATAAAACGTTTTGGCTTTTCTAGATACATTGTTTTTACTATGTATACAGACATAGGTAGCGTTTGGTTGGGAGTTAAAGTGGGGTGGGACTGTCCCGACTCTGGTTTCTGGGATGGGACAGAAACGGGACGACTCCAATTTCTGTTTGGTTGAAGAGGGATGGGATGAACCCATTTTTTGTTTGGTCTCAGGACATCAAAAGTGGGATCACCCACTGACAAGTGGGGTCCATTTGTCAGTTTTTTTAATTTCTTTTCTTTTTCTTCCTCTTCCTTATCCCTTCGTTCTTCTTATCCCAACCGCACGCAGCGGACGCAGCGCCTCCGCAACCGCGTTCACCTTTGCGCTTCCTAGCGCGAAGCCCGACGCCCTGCGCTTCCTTCGCCGGCGCTCGGCCATGCGCCGGCCGTCTTCCTCCCCTTCTCCACCGCCAAGCTTGGCCGTGCACTGCTCTCTTCCTCTCCTTTTTGGATGGCGGCTGTAGGGCCGGAGGTCGTGCCGTCGGGTCGGAAGCCGAGCTCGCCGCGGTGAGGGCCAGGCTGGGGTCAGAGCTCGCCCGCACGGTGGAGGCGGGTACAGATCTCGCCGGGCACTGCGGCGGCGGGGTCGGAGTGGCGCGGTGAGGCTGGGGCCAGACACCGGAGCTTGCGCTATGAAGCTAAACTCGCATGGCGACAGCTGGCTGGACCCCGCTCCTCTTCTTCCTCAACGCAGGCAGCCGCTCTCCTTCTTCCTCAGGCTCCTCTTCCTCCGAGTTCATCACGCACGCACCAAGGCAGCCATCCCACTTGGGGATGACTCTGTCAAAAGAGGGACACAGAGTCACAGAATCTTCAGCGAATATGCCCAAGTAGGATGTCCCTGACTCCACACGACTCTGAACCACGCAAAAAAAATGGATCCATCCCATCCTGACTCTGGAAATCCTCTCATCCAAACACTACCATAGTGTATATCTAAGTGCATAGCAAAAGCTATGTATCTAGAAAAGCCAAAACGGCTTATAATTTGGAATGGAGAGAGTACGTCGGTAAGGAAGGTGAGAAATCCATCCTTACACAGTTATAACATACAATGTTAAAGGATATCTGAACATACAGGACAGGACCTCTAAACTACAGTTTGATATTTCGTGTACCAACCACATAATACTTCAAAATTGACAATCTAATGACTGATGAAATGAATTATCAAACAAACTCATCATCAGAGTCATCATAATCGCTGTCTTCGTACTCCTCACTCTCTATCTCCTCCATAGATGCATTCATGTCAGAAGAATCCTCACGCTCCATTTCCTCAACCCCAATTGTGTCATACTTCATGCGCTCATCAAATTTGGCATCAGAACAGTTAAGAAGCCATGCAAGAGAGCATGTGAAGCCCTTCCAGGACACCATCTCATGCCGAGGCCTCACAGTCGACTCGAGGCCATATGTGAAGAACGCAGGGAACTCAACCAGCTCCTCCAAATCCCTCTCCATCTCATTCTTGAAGTATTCGAAATTCATCCTCATTATATCCATATTTAGTGCGAGCAGTTGGGGGCATGCCACAACCATTTTGCTCACTTGAGAGAGCTTAAATCCACAAGCTGTGAGGAAATTAACATGCTTCAGAACCGCAGCTCGTCCAAGACTAATGGCTTGCGGCATCCTCTCAACTACTCTCCCAAAATCTTCACGGCTAACCAAAATGCTCGACTCAAACAAGCTCTGCTGTGCAACAAGCTTGTCCCTCAGTTCAAGTCCAAGAATGTCAGGGTACTGCATCACAATGGATGCTAGAGCCTCCTTCCTCACTCCAAAGTCCATAAGAGCCTCAGTGTTAGGCTTCACCTTCTCCTCTAGCCCAAATCCAAGTACATATGGCTTCTTCTCTATTATTCTTGCAACAGCTAACCTCTGCAGACCAATGCCCTCAAGGTGTTCGACGAAAGGCTTTATTATCTTCCCCACGCGCATACCAAGCACCTCTGGAAAACGGGTGATGACGCTGCCTATCAGACGCCTCCCCACTCCAATGCCGACGAGGTAGGCGATGGAAGTGCTCATGGTGCCCTCGAGCTTGAACCCGAGGAGCTCCGGATAGCGCTCGAGCACGCGCGGCACGTCAGCGGGCCTCACGTCCATACCCTGGAGATACTTGACGACGGGGGCAAGGTCGACGACGACGCTGGCGTGTAGCACCTGCGGGTACCGTCTCAGCAGGTCCGGGAGCGCATCGCGGCGGACGCCGAGCTTGCCGAGATAGTCGAGGACGGGGACCATGTTCTTGCGCACGCTGCAGCCGAGAGCGAGAGGGTAGGCGGCGAGGTCCTCGCGGGTGAGCCCGAGGGAACCCAGGAACTCGGCGCGCTCCCGCATGACGTCGACGGTGACCGGGAGCTCGAGGCCCGCGAGTTCGCCCGGGTCGACGCCGAGGGAGGCGAGGAAGGCGTCAACGTCGGCGCGGCGGGTGGCGCGCTCGCGCTCCATGTCGAGGAGGCTGGGGCGCGCGTAGAGGGAGGAGGATGGGCGGCGCGACGGCGCCGGCCGGGGGGAGCGGCGGTCGGCTTGGGGCGGCGCGGAGGCGGAGGCGGAGGCAGAGGAGGAGGCGCGGAAGCGGAGGAGACTGCGAAGGCGGGGGGCGGGGAGGAGCGGCGGCGTGGGATGGGCGGAGAAGAGGAGGGACTTCATCATTTGGACTTGGGAGTGGTAACTGGCAACAGGTGAGCGAGAGAGGTCCCGTGGCGATGGCGAGGATGGAGCCGCAGAGGAAAGCTGCGTTGAGATGGAGCCACAGCAGAGGAAGGCTGCGGCCTCCTGCTGCAAAGCCAGGGCCGGCTTCTTGAGGGGCCATAACGTATTAGAGATGGGCCTCCGGGCCCGAAATCCCCGCCGCACCCGGCATGTTCGCTTCCACCATCTGTCGGCGGCGGCTCCTCCGCCTCTGCCAAATCCCCTCCGCCGCCTGCACAAACCCCAGCGACGCCCTCTCCCACGGACACTCCTCAGCAACCCTCGCGGCCGCCCCCGTCTCCGAGCCCTGTCCCGCCACTGTCTCTTACCTGCTCTCCTGCGGACTCTCCCCCGCCGCCGCGGCCGCCCACAAGCTCCCCATCCGCTCCACCGCCAAGGCCGACGCCGTCCGCGCGCTCTTCCGGAGCTACGGCTTCACCGACGCGGAGATCGCCGACCTAGTCCGCCGATTACCGCTGATCCTCATCCTCGACCCCAACCGTATCCTCCGCCCCAAGCTTGTCCTCTTCGCCTCCCTCGGCGTCAAGCCGCGGAAGCTCGCCAGCTATCCTATCCTCCTCACGCGCAACCTCGACACGCACCTCGTCCCCTGCATCCAGTTCCTCCGCAGCATCCTCGGCACCGATGAGGACGTCTGCCTTGCCATCTCGCGCACCCCACGCGCCCTCATGGCCGACTTGGAGAAGAGCATGCACCCCGCCGTGGACACCCTCCGCTGCCTCGGGCTCCCCGAGGAGTCCATCTCGAAGCTAGTCATCATCGAGATGGGCGTGCTCATGATCTCGCCCGAACGCATATGCCAGATCTTCGAGGGCCTCAAGGAGTTCGGCTTGGGCGTAACGGAGAAGGGCTTTCTTTACGGCATCCGCGCGTAATGCGGCATCAGTAGGGAGACGTGGCTGCATAGGGTCGCCCTGTACCGAAGCTCCGGGGTGTCCGAGGGTGAGCTGCGCAGAGCGTTCAAGAGGCAGCCGACGATACTGAGCTTCTCTGATGAGATCATAAAAAAAGAAGCTTCGGTTCTTCCTGGATGAGCTGAAGCTTGAACTGAGCGAAGTAATGGGGCAACCTGTGCTTATAAGGTATAGCTTGGAGAAGAACATCATACCAAGGTGTGCCGTATTAAGCTTGTTGATGAGGGAGGGAAAGATTGGGCCCAACGTCAAGTTGATTTCGGCATTGCTTGGTAGCGCCAAGATGTTCTCCACAAAGTATGTATTCCCTCCGTCTAAAAAATAGAGTCGCTACAGGAATTGTGCTAGTCAAACTTTCTCAACTTTGACTTGGTTTGTAGAAAATTCTTTGAACATTTATATCTCCAAATAAGTTTATTATGAAAGTATATTCAACGATCTACCTAATGATATTAATTATGTACTATAAATATTAATATTTTGTTAAATATATTTGGTCAAAGTTAAAAGTTGCTAACTTTTTGGGAAGCAAGAATGACTTTTTTTTTAAGACAGAGGGAGTATTGAGGTATGCTCACGATGTGCCAGATGTTGTTAAGGCGTATGAGGATAAGATTACATTTGATGGTTTCAGGGATCAGGATGTTTTAGTTCCGATGAAGCTGTGAGGCAAGTTTTGTAGGATTATATCACAAGGTTAGGTGTCATTCCTTCCAATGCCATTGACATCACTGTGTTATGTTAATTCTGGTCATTTTTTCACATAACCATCTCCATAGAATTTACTGTACCTTTCTGTCCTCTGGATTGACAAATGTAAAAAAATGTGGATCTTGTGACGTTATCTAAGTAATATTTGATCTGGTACGCTGAACTGATTCATTCAATTTGTTATGCTTTTGAAGTCTCTTTCTGTCTTTCAGTAATATTTGGTGATTTTGAAATATGTTGTAGGAATGACCTTAGTACTTCTTTACTATCTGGATTAAGACTCTGTTGTTCCATTCTAATTGATATATAAATTCGTCATCCATTGACAACTTCAAAGATCCTGATTTTGTTGGTCCTCACAATATGCAATGTGTGCATCCACTGAATTTTATGTACAGTAAAAGTGAAAGTTTTGATCTGTTTACAATGTGGTTCTTGTGGGTTTGATGCATTTGTCAAGCTGCTATTATATTTGTGAAGCTTGTGTTATATAGGTGATATTGTGTATGAAAATTCCTGTTCTAGATGAGGCTCTTGTCATGGCGAGTTAAACGCCACCAACTTAATTGTAAGCTTGATAGCTGACCACAGTGGAGATAAAGCCGATGAGTATTTGCTAATGGTTGCATTCTTACGTTACATCAACAGCATAGGAAAACAGTTTTATTGGGAAATACATCAACAAACAGTTATCGTCGACATAAGGAGCTTTTACATAACCCTGCTTCACCATGTGAGTGGAGAGTTTCTAAAATTCTCTGTATCAAGATGTTACTAGGATACTTGTAAATATTGTGTCGATATGTTGGTGAATACAAGATTTGAATACAAGCGAGAATGAACTTCGTGGCACCGTCTCCGCTGGAGAAAAGAAGTGCTTTAGCATATTGACACTGATGTGTAACTATTGCTTTCAAATCCTTTGCTCAATAATTAACAACTCAAGGGTCTCCGTTGGAGAAAAGAAGTGCTTTAGCATATTGACACTGATACGCCACTATTGCTTTCAAATCCTTTGCTCAATAATTAACAACTCAAAGGGTCTCCGTTGGAGAAAAGAAGTGCTTTAGTATATTGACACTGATACGCCACTGTTGCATTCAAATCCTTTGCTCAACCACAAGCTAAATGAATGATCGTGTATATTAGCAAATGATAAACCACAAGCTACACCGGAGCTCCAGGTTCAGTATAGCAAAAGAAGCACTTTAGGAGACGGTAGGAGCATTTTAGGAGACAGTTTGATAAATACCGGTGATCTTCAAAGACGGTCCGAGCATTTTAAGAGACAGATTCATAAATACCCGAAAATTGATTAACAGGGTTGAACATCTTAAAAGACTCTAAAAATGAAGATCATCTCAGCCAACACAGGTTATTACGGTTGTTCAAATAGCGACCAAAACTCAAATACAACTTCATTTAATGTGCAACTTTATTAAGTTACTGAACTATACAATAGTACTATCTTAACCTATTTTTTTATCTAAGTATGATTGTGCCTAAAATTAGCTCCAATTTCAAGATAAAAGGACAAATGGTCTCCAGATCGATAATTACAAGCCTGGTTGTTCTTCCATGCAAAATGTGCTGCGGCGTGGAGCCAAACGAGCCGAAAAAAGAAGGGAGATAAGATGCAGCACGGGAAGAGCGTTTGTATACGTACCCCCTCCTCCTTGAGAAAATGGTGATTCTGCCATTACGAAAACTGGGCTTCACAATTTTGCCATCCCGCAAATGGGATTCGCCCGTTTGCCATTCTCAAACGATACACACCCGCAAATATGCCCTGCGGAGGATTTGTTGCCAAATTAAATTTTTTTTTTTGTTGCGGCATCTCTTTCTTCCCGTTTTGCCCCTGAGCCTTATCCCTTCGTTCCTTTTCATTCACCGTATATTCACGGGAGAGAGAGCACGAAGAGAACGGGAGAGAGACGAGACGAAGACGAACAGAGGGAACTGCTCCACCGCCGCCGATGCCGCCGACGGCCGACAGCAGCCCACCTCCTCGGCCCTTTCCTTCCCAGCCACGGCGCGTATATTCACAGAAGGAGGGAGTAGATGTTATCTCAAATAAGGAACCATGCTTGGACACCATTGCTTCTATCATAACATAGAGCACATACTCACCTGAAAAGGGCCTGAGTTTCTGTTTTGCCGAAGTCTCAAACCTTGGAAAATCTAGCATACTTCACCCCTTTTTTTAATCAGACGCCAGTTGAATACCTGCACATAGAACCCTGCATTCTAAAGGAGCACAACAATACAACGTGAACATAAGTGTCAATGATTGTCTATGTGTTTGAGGTGAACTAAACAAAGTTAATTACCGAATTGAAGGATAAACGCAAAGTTGGCAGAATACAATGCAGAGTAATGCTGGCAGAATATCTCTTGTTTGTGCTGATTAAAAACAGTTCTACTCCATTTAACTGAGTAACTACCGCACCATGTTTGCCGAGACAGATTGCAGCAATGCCTGAGTGCAGGTATTGCTCTGCAAAAACAAGCATTAAGCTCAGAAATTGACCTCTGGCAATGCCATGATGGAAACCTCTAAGAGCTTGTTTGGATAAACTCAATCCCTCCCAGTCCATATGGATTGGAGTGGAAATGAACTAATTTTCCACCTCTTTCAATAAGTATGAATTGAAGGGCATTGCTATGTTTCCAAACAATCCTTAAAGAGTGGTGCATAGGATGGCGTCTGAGAAGTTGACCAGAAGATCAACAGAGGCAAGGACAGGAACATACCCCACTCCTCACAAGAGCGATGAGACATGGCAATGGCCATGACTATTGGATCCCAAGAGTGGTTCCTATCCCCAAATGACATTGCTACCCTCAGTGGAATGCTGCCCTAGGAATAGTGGTGTAGATCATTGCTGAATTTTGAATATTTTGGTAATTTTCTGATAAGAGCTGATTTTATTAGATTACTGTTCTTATAGCATTTATCCATTTCTCTGTTCCTGGCTATTTTCAGTTTAGCGCTCTTTACTAAAAATAAGGATTCTAGTTTCGTTTTTTCTTTAACTTATTAATCTTGATCAAATATTATATGCAGGCATTTGGCTGGGCGTATGTTAACAATCGCCATAATACTTGGGAGCAGTTCTATGTGTACTGGATATGCCCCTTCATTGGTGCCATTCTTGCCGCGTGGATCTTCAGGGCTTTGTTCCTAGCACCGCCACCTAAGCCCAAGGCCAAGAAAGCATGATGAACATCATTTGTTCATGGATGCTGGATTTGATAAATCAACATGAATTGCTAGAATTAGAGGAACGCCAAGAACAAGTTCCTGGTGTATTTAATTACCTCAATTTCCCAGCTTGTTGAATTAAATTGATTAATGTGATACCATGTTACTCGTACCTGTCATACACAGTTTTAAGAACAAAACTAGACTCGCTATATGTGTGCCCAGAAAGTCCACACATACCACAACAAAGTGAGTAGTATTAGAAACAATGTTATTAAATATAACGTATACATAGCTATATTAACACTTACATCAGAGTATCGCGGAACGGTAACTAATCTTCAACAACCATCCGAGCAACCTTCACTAGAGACTAGGGGTGTGGGGAAATAGCAAGGGTGAGCACATGTCGTACTCCGTAAATATAACATGGGCGAATGAAGGCTCAAAAGGCTAGACACGGTTGAACTGCAGTAGGCATTTTTAGTAAACCAAGTTTTTAACATTAAAGCATGAGTTGCTAAGTTATGCTTGAGCTCAAATTCCCACATGATTATAAGTAATGGCAATAGTACAATAATGATTAAAAATGACCATCCTCAATATCATAGAATAACAATAAAAAGGACGTACCTAGTACAGAGAGCTCCCACTTTGTGCGAGGTCTGGGGAAGGGTGTTAGTGGCAAGACTTACCCTCGCCTGTGCAATGCGAGAAGACCGCGACTCGAACCCAGGACCTTCTAGTCACAGACGGTAAGTGTCGGCGTTTCGGACCGGGGGGTCCTCAACCAACCAGTGAATTTGTTCTGCGTGCTCCCGATCCAGATGGTGATGCAAAGAGACACAAGATTTATACTGGTTTAGGCAATCGAGGCCCTACGTCCAGTCTGAGAGATCGATCTTGTATTCCTTGCACCGAGGTGCTCGTAGTAGGGGGTTACAAGCTAAAGGAGAGAGGGAGCTGGTCCTAGGTCTCGGCAGGGTGTCGTGCGGGCCGCTTGAGACGTTGCTCTTAGGCGGCAGGAGTGTGCATGTGTGTGTGT